ATCAGAAAGACAGTCCAGATTACAACGGGATAATGTCAACCGCAAGTAGAATGACACTCCACGGAAATAGAACTTATAGGGAAAGAACCAAGGGAAGACCCACAGGCACATCCTGAGAGGTTAGAGAAAGGGGAGAGCCCCAGGGATTGTTATGGAGCTGAACTGTACCGGTTACAGGCTGGTCAAAGGTGAGGGCACATGTCAAGGCGTTGCCAGGAAAGAATCATCAGAGTCCTCCCTCGCAGTGTCAGAAGGGCTGCCTGGAAGCGCGTTAGAGCCACTCTTCCTAGGAAGGTGTTTATGTATAGACATGACCCGCACTGCAAGGTGGTGGCCCTGGACAGGGCCTTTTGTGACAGTTCCTACTGTCAGGCCAACGTGCATGAGGATCCTCTCTGCATAGTCTCCCATTTCCCTTTTTGGGGGACGGGGTTTGACGTGAGAACTCTGATCTAATTCTGATAACTTTTATATAATAACAACCCAGTCCCACATCTCCGGAGCTGAAAACAACATGGGCAATTTTTCCTCGTTATTGTCCATGCTGCAGAGAGCTGAATCTTAATCCATATCATCTCTACTCACTGTGGAAGACTGAGGAGATGGAGGCTAAGAGAGAATCAACCCCTTTCCTCTACCATTGCCAAGCAGGGAAAACAGATGGTGGCAAATCTGCTACTTATCTCCCAAAGCTTCCGCCTGAAGGGGAGAAACATTACTCCTGCTTGTGTTCCATCAGTCAAAACATCCCCTAATCACACGTCGTCATCAAGGGGTGAGAAGAGGATAATATCCTCACCGTGTGTCCACAAGCAGAGTGGGCAGTGTTTGGGGAATGTTTCTCCTCACTTCTGTGTACCCTCATGGCCTTTCCAAAGATGGGGCATGGTTTTTGTTTGTTTGTTTGTTTACTTTCCAATTTAAAACAAACAAACAACAAAAATTCTCTTAGGCTATTCTATGGTACAATAGGTTTAGCTGCCACCTGGGTCACCAGCGCGCTGTGTGAATGCCAGTTCAAGTCCTACCTGTTCCACGTCTGATCCAGCTCCTGCTAATGCGCCTGGGAGAGCAGCAGAAGATGCCCCAAGTGCTTGGTCCCCTGCCACTCACACGGGAGACCCAGAGGAGGCTCTTGACTCCTGGCTTCAGCCTGGCCCAGTCCCTGACATCATCTGGGGAGTGAACCAATGGATGGAAGATTTCTTTCTCACTGTCTCCCTGTAACGTCTTCAAATAAATAATCATTGAAAGAAATCCCTTCAGTTATATAAGTTACCACAAACCCTTTAAGTAATTTTCTTCAAAAAAGTTCAGTTTCTATCACTTAACAAAAGCTGGAGGAAGCATCCTACTTGGCATTACAAATATCATGACCCAAGCAACTTAGGAAAATGCACTTTAGCTAGCAAGCTGAGATGGTTTGAAAGAAAAGGGAAACACCTACTTTCCAAGGACAACATTCAGATTGGAAAAGAAACAGGGCATGAGAGGAGTCAATAATTTAGATGCAAGTAATTATTGGTGGCTCTCACTTGGCATGTCAGCCGGGATGCTAGGCATTTCTGCATAAGCTTGTTAATTTTATTCTTTACAAACACAATTTGAGGTATTATGAGTCCTAATTTTTACATGTAGAAACTGTCCACAAGCCATGTGACTAGAAAATGACAGCATTGTTTCAATACTGTGATCTTAGAAAAGACTATCAAATCATGCAAAGTATATGTTTGAAGAATACATTCTATTTGGTTTGCAGGACTGAAACACATGGAAGGGTACTTTGAGTACTAGGATAAAGAGGCAGTGGGATAGGTGTGTTTTTTTTTTTAAGTATTTACTTATCTGAAAAAATAAGAGAGAAAGACAGAGATCTTTCCATTGCTCATTCATTCCCTGTAACACCCAGGACTAGGCCAGGGCAACACCAGAAGGCGCAAACACTCCATCTGGGTTTCCCACATGGCTAGCAGACACTTGGGCCGCCTTCTGCTGGCTTTCCAGGTGCATCACAGGGAGCTGGATTAGAAACAGAGCAGCCGGGACTCCCAATTGACAATCCCAAACACGATGTTGGTGTTGTCAGTGGTGGTTTACCGTCCCCCTGCCCACACCACAGTGCTGGCCCTGAGGAAGGTCTCTTGAGTTAGAAAAGGTGTTCAGAGAGCCGACAAATGATGCCTTGTGAACAGGGATCTGCTGTTGTTGTCCAGGACAAATCAAATTGGGGCACAATGGAGTCCCAGAGACCAGTGGCAGGGATGTGGTATCAACTTTGAGAGGCCTGGATGAGCTTGGGCTTCAGGGGTCAGCAGAGAAAACCGTTTTCCATCTAGCGCCTGGACCACTGGGGGCATGTGGCGAAACTGCAGTTCTTCTTGGGCAGCGAGCTCCCACTTCTTTTCCATTGTGGCTTCTTGAGAACTTGCTCTGAGGAAAAGCCTGAACGGAAAGTACACACACACACACACACACACACACACACACACACACACACACACACACACACACACACACACACACACACACACACACACACACACACACACACACACACACACACACACACACACACACACACACACCTGCCAAAGCTTGTCATCAACAAATCTCCATTAAACAGCCAACTATTATCACCTTCCCCACATCACTGATGGGGTCTGGCATTTGACTGGCTCCACTCTGACATGTGAGTATTTAGGAGTCAGAGGGACAAAGGACTTTGAGAAATCTCCTTACTGGGAGTGTCCAGCAAGTGGCATAAATGTGAGAAATCTGGATGGGCCTCAGGAAAAATAGGGCAGCCACTCAGCCCCAAGGTTCTGCATCTGCTCATTTTCAAGAGAAATTTCACAGCCAGATTTGTTTGCTTGTTCAGGGGTAAATCCCAAAAGTGAAATTATTGTAGCTAGTTCAGTTTTTTTTTTCTTTACGGTTTATTTATTTGAAAGGCACAGTTACAGAGAAAGACTGAGAGACAGAAAGAGGGAAAGGTGTTCCATCTGCTGGTTCACTTCCCAAATACTGGCAACCCAGAGCCAGAAGCCTGGAACTCCATCCAAGAGCTCCAGTCAACTTTGGCTGCTTTCCCAAGCACATTAGCAGGGAGCTGGATGGGAAGTGGAGCAGCTGGGACTGAAACCAGTGCCCACAGGGGATGCCAGTGTTACAGGTGGTAGCTTTCCCTGCCGTGCAGCAACACCTCCCTGGCAATTTACTTTTCCTGTGATCCCTGTCCTGGCCCTATCAGCTCTCTGCTTGCTCTCTCTGGGTTTGTGTTTCATACCATTTTAATCCAAACCTCTCCAAATGTTTGAGAACACATCCCCAGTGCCCTGGGACACTGTATAGGCAGGTTCTCAGGACTGCGCAGAAATCAGGCTGAGAAGTTTCAGATTGCCAGGCATGGCATGGAGAGCGGGGAGGTCCCTGGCCACAGGCTGGGAAACCCCAAAGCCAGAGAGGTAGAGGTGTTTACCGCAACTCGGGCCTCGCTTCTGGCACTCCTGAGCTGAAGGTTTGGAGTGGAAGCGGGGTTGGCAAAGCTGGTGCTCCTGTCAGCTTCAGTTGGCCCCTTCCCATGAACATGACGGGAGTGCAGTTGTGTGGTGCTCGAGAAGCATCCCTAGTTACACAGAATGATTTACAAGACACCAGACTCTGCATTTCACAAGTCTCCAGCGTACCATAAAAAATATATTATAAAGGAATAATCTTTATCTGAATGAAAGCTGCAGTGAAGGAAACCCGTGTCCAGCTGAGAGCAGCACTGAGCTTTTGTGCACTCAGGGAAAGTCCGTGTTCTTCATCTTATTTGATTAACATTTTCTCTCTCTTCGGCACTAGGTAGCTCGTTAATATTTAGACATTATATACATTTTCTTTCAACTGTTGTTCCTATTATGTGATCAAACAGAAGCAGAGATGCCTGGCACATCAGCCCTGCTGGGAGGAAGCCGACCTGCCAGGCACCCAGCTGTGGCTAGCTGGGCAAAAGGGCTCACTCCTGCCAGCCCCTGGGGGAAAGGACAGGGGTACAGGCCTAGGGCCAGCCCCTGGCTGCCAGGGAGGAGAGTTTGATGGAGTGCCTCTTTCCTCCCATTGCAGTCTCGCCCTTTTCTTCCACGGCAAAAGGCAACAGGAGGCTGTTGTGAATCTTCCAAATCCTTTGGCTGTTTATTTCCTACTAGGAAAGGGAGGCCGCGGGGTGGGATTCTCCCTGGGCGGTGATGCGCAGCTCCTCTGGTGTCTGGTGCCTGTTCTGGGGTCCAGAACGGTAGTGACCCCGGGAGCCCTGAATTCCATCAGGGGCAACCGCTCCTCCTGGCTAGCAATCCCCTTGCCCCTTCACCTCCGCAGGGCCACAGGTGAGTGCACCTGCGGGGAAGGGTGGGTAGGAGGGAAACAGCCTTCTGAGGGCACCTTTACTGGGTGACGGCGGGGCAGGTGCGAAAGCTCTGGGACCGGAGTACTTGGAGAATTTTGTGCCAAAGCTCCACCCACCAGGAGCTTCAAGATGGGGAGCTGGAAAGATGGAAGTTGGGATGGGAAAGCTGGGGTGGGGCAGGAATCTGTCCTGGAGCAAAGGCAGGACAACAGGGGGTGAGCAAAGGACCTGTCAGGGATGGGCTGAATTTGCTTGGAGTCCCAGGGGAAAAGCGGGTGCTACAGCTCACCATCCACCTCCGCCAACCCCCAGAGAGGTCCCCGGCGCCCGACACCTGCGCTGGGCATTGGATTCTTGGTCTCTTGAAAGTGTTTGGGAAGGACTGACAGACCCGGCGTCTGACTCCCCAGGGAGGGCACGCAACGAAGCCCGGCAGGGAGCGCCCCCAGCACAGGTGTGCAGGGAGGCGGCAGGGGTGCCCCAGTCTTAGTGCACGCCCCGCTCTTGCGCTCCCCTCCCACACCCCCCCTCCACCGCTTCGCCGGCGTGCACGAGGCGCAGCCCTCCCTCCGCTTTCCTCGGAGGCGCCGGGCGCGCGCCCGTCCCCCTCCTCCTCCCCTCCGCGCCTCTCCGCTCTCCCGGCAGAAAGTTAGCAGCGGGGAAGGAACTCAGGGCTGCAACAGCGCGCGGCGGCTGCAGAAGCCGAAGCAGGAGCCGCGGCGGAGCCGGTGAAACCGGTGCGCTGCAGTCGGAGCAGGTGTAGCCTGCGGGTCCGCGCGCCCCCCTCGGTCCCCGTGCCAGAGGCTGAGGGGGGTGGGTGGGCGGGAGGGTCGCCCGGACTCTACCGGCAGAGCGAGGCCGGGGGGGCCATGCGGCCGGGCTCCCCCCCGGCGCAGCGGGACAGCGTCCAGGGCTGGGGGCGCAGCGTCGTCGCTTCATGCAGCCGGGGCGGCTGGGCAGCGGCGGCGGCGGTAGCGGCGGCGGCGGCGGCGGCGGCGGGGGCGGCGGCTGAAACCATGTCCGGGCAGCGCCGGGGGCTGCCGCCGCCGCCGCCGCCGCGAGCCGGGAGCCGCGATGGCCCCGTGGCCCGCACCTCCTCCGCCTCCGCCTCCGCCTCCACCTCTCTCCGCGCCGCCGCCGCCCGGCGCTTCTGCTAAGGGGCCGCCGGCGCGCAAGCTGCTTTTTATGTGCACCTTGTCCCTGTCTGTCACCTACCTGTGCTACAGCCTCCTAGGCGGCTCGGGATCCCTGCAGTTTCCCCTGGCGCTGCAGGAGCCGCCGGGAGCCGCCGCCGAGCCCCCGCCGAGCCCGCCGCCACCCTCGCTGCCGCCTCCCCCCGTGCGCCTCGGCGCCCCCTCGCAGCCGCCCGCGCCTCCGCCGCCGGACAACGCCAGCCGCGGGGAGTCGCCCGGGCCCCCGGAGCAGCCCGCCGGCCCCGGGGTGGACGGTTGGGGGCTGGCGAGTGGCGGCGGCGCCCGGGACGCCTGGCTCCGGACCCCGTTGGCCCCCAGCGAGATGGTCACTGCGCAGAGCGCGCTGCTCGAGAGGGACGCGCCGGAGTCCAGCACTGCCGACGAGGACCTCGCTGGCCGGAGAGTGGCCAACGGGAGCAGCGAGAGGGGCGGCGCCGCCAGCACCCCGGACTACGGGGAGAAGAAGCTGCCACAAGCCCTGATCATCGGGGTCAAGAAAGGGGGGACGCGAGCGCTGCTCGAGGCCATCCGAGTGCACCCGGACGTGCGGGCGGTGGGCGTGGAGCCGCACTTCTTCGACAGGAACTACGACAAGGGGCTGGAGTGGTACAGGTAGGAACCTTCCCCCCTCAATCCCCGAGCCCCAATGCCCTCACTCCCGGGGCTGGGCGGGTTGGAGTGGGTGTGCGAGAGGGTAACGCGCCGCTTTCCACGCCCTTCGAGCGCAGGCAGCAGTCCCGGGATCGCCTCTGGCCCCGGCACGGTCCCGCTAACTCAGGCCGGGTGGATCAGGTTGCGCCGTCGCCAAAGGAGACTTTGTTTCAGGGTGAGGGGCGCGGAGGTGCAACCCCGTCCTGCCTCGGACACCCGTCCCCCAGGCACTGAGGTGCTTGCTTCGTCTGCCCGGCTCGGAGCCTGGGAGTCCCCCAGCACCCGCCAGATGTTTCTTCTGACCCAGGCTCTTACCATAAGGGCAATGCTGAGGAATGAGACGGAATAGCGAGGGGCCTTTGGGATTCCCCGTGGCATCTTTCAGAATCGGCCTCGAAACAATTTTTGCGTGGCTGGAAACCAACTTGTGTAATGTTTTTTAAGGTCGGAGCACCCCGAGGAGGGTGCAGTTTTCAAAGATGACGCTGGCTGGCATTGTGGCTTTCTAGAACAGACAGGATGCTGCCACCTGCACAACTTTCTCTCCCTATCGGCGGAACGAACGCCGCGCTGGTGGAGCAGCGGGCGCTGCCACCTCTGCGAGGCAATTAGTTGGTGTCCCCCGTGAGTGTTATGCCCTGCGCTGTGGCCTTTCCGATCTGTCTCCTCTATGCATACCCATTGGCGAGAGAGAGAAATTTATTGATTGATGGTTGATGAATTCATCTTGCCCCCGTTTTGCATGCGCATCAGCGAGCGGGGAGAGAAAGGGGCAAGACTCTAAAATTAAGTGCAGGTAAAATAAAAGCAAAATCCGACTCTTGCCAGCAGTAACGTATAGATCATCCTGGCGCAGGTGCCTCCCCGGTGCAAAGCTCCTCTGCTGGTTTTCTTTCCCTTTTCTCCTGTTTTTTTGGTCTTTCTGGAAAGTAAGTGTGGCTGGCCCCCATCTCGATTGCGTGTTAGTAATTGATAGCGATTGTCAACAGAAAACACAGCCTTTGTCAGTTGCAGTGATGTTATCGTCCCCACAGAGCCATAGGTAACATCACTGCTCTGACAGTGGGGGCTTCTCCTGAACATAGTTGCTTTCTAGGTTTCTGTGAAGACCCGGGGAAGTTTTAGAAATGACTCATGCTACATGTGTGTGTTGCGATTGACTTCTCCCACTTAAAAAAAAAAATCATGCCTTATGCTTTAAAAGCTTGAGAGAAGCACTGTCAGGCATAAACATTCTAGCACATTATACCGAAGCAGCAAATGTGTTTGTTAATGTCTTGTCTGTTTCAACAGCGAGAACTAATTGCAATATTTTAGGAGGTTTCAGACAGCCCCTTCCTATCAAAACATAAAACAGCAAATGCCTGATTTAACTGGAAAATCAGTATTTATAACATCACAAGCCATGGCTTCCAGTCTGCGAATATAATTAAAAAGGCGTTAGAATGATTAATGCCACAACAGCAAAATAAAGAAGGGCTGTGATGTCTGGGGAAGCTTTCAGTTGTTTCATTGTCAATGTTCTGGTTTCTTCTTTGGCGCCAGTGTGGGTTAACTGTGTGTGTATGTGTGTGTTTTGAATTCTAGCTCTAATTTCAAAGCTGTGCATCTTGTGAAAGTGTCAGATATGCTTTATGGGAGGCATAAAGATCAAAAGTCATTCCAACATGTGTTTGGGTTGCTTTGTGGCAACTGGAAACAAGGAAAGAGGGTCTTCTATCGAGATGACTTAAAGAGGAGTTGGTGAGGGGTGCTGGTGCAGTGTGCATGTCTGGAGTCCCACAGTGGAGTCTGAACCGAAGGAGAGAAGGTGCTGATCTGTCTGTGTTCGTTTATACAGAGGCTGGGAGGAGAAGGCGTGTGCACTATCTTGCTGTCACAACATGGCTACTGAAGATGGTTTCTCAGGTCTTTGCTCTCCCAACCTTATGCTTCCAACAGACATTGGGTGGGCGGGGGGGGGGGAGGGAGCTTGGTGTTGGTATCTGGTAGTCACCTCTAGAACTGCTCAGCTGAATAGATGTGGCTACCATAAGATTCCCTGGATCCTCCCTTAAGTAAGAATCCATTGTGATCCCTCAGCATGTCCATCCTGCACCTTGCCACTGGTCCGTCATCCACGCTTGGTGGTGATGGTGTAAATGACAGGTGCTGGAGAAGAAGTTCCAGGTGTTTGGCCTTGTGTAGGCAACCTAGAGGGAGTCGTAGCTACTGGAACACTTGGCTGTGGGGAGAACTCCGGGAAGCCCCTTGGCCTCACCGATGCCTGGTGGGGCTTTCGTTGGCTAGCTGGCAACCTCGTCACCAACAGCAGTGCTTTGGGGACATTTGTGAGAATTCCATTAGGTCCACTCATCAGGTCCTCTCTTTGTAATGTAGGTAGAGGGGACCCACACATCTTACATGCCTTCAAATCAGTAGTACAGATCCTTCCTAACTCACTTCCCTGGGCTTTCTCTGAATGTTGCTAAGGTTGGGATCTGTAGGTTAATGGTATACTTCCTCTCAATGCCAGCTGTGCTATCTGGAATCTGCCTGATTTGAGAGCCACAGGTTAAATAAAGGTTTAATCCCCCCCCCCCCAAACACACACCTGCTATCATGTACACACTGTTTTTTTCTTTGAAGTGTGCTTTCGGAATAGCCTATGAAGTCTACAGGTGTCTCTGTTTTTTTTCTGTTTCCAGCATGAGGGAGAGCTAAGAACTCGGGACTGCCATCGGCATGGCTGGCTTAAGGTTTCCTCGTATTCTGCTTGGCAGTTTGGGCAGTTTTGTTTGCTCAGTGTCATTCCAGTTATCTTCAGATCCGGGTTTTGCTTCACTCTTGTGCTATCAATCTAATGTGATGTAAAAACACATTTGGGATTAGAACGTGTGCACCAGATTTTTAGGGCAGAATTGACTAATGGATTAGGAGATGTGTGTTAGAGCCACATGAAGCAAGCCTCCCGAGAAGGGTTGACCCAGGCCCATGATGAGCAAGTGCAGGTGGATTAGCCCTCCCACCCCGTGCTTCCTGTCCCTCTCCGCCAAGGCAAAGCCATGAGTATCTTTTGTGTAAGTTGCTGGGGGCTGTCTAGTAGAGACCTCAATCTCTCCTAAGGGGTGAGAGCTTGGGGCAGGCCAGCCGGCTGCCACTGCAGAGCTCACCCAAGCGACAGAGGCGACTTGAACTCTTTGTTCACTTGTGGCCCACACACTGCAAAGGAACTGTGACTTTGTCACTCTGGAAATCACTCAGTGCCGGGACGATGGGACATGACTCTTCAGGGTTTTGTCTTCACAGTCAGCAGTTAACACGCATGTCCCGTTGGCTCTTGGAAAAATAACTTGGCATTCGAAGGCAGTGCTTGTGCTGGTCAGAGGTGAGTGAGTGGTCAGCGGTGTCCGGTGAGAGTGAGAAGGCATCGGACAGGCATCGGTTTTTACAGCACCTGTCATTGCGGTGGTTGGTGCAGCACAGAAGCTTCATGACATTGGGGTGGGGTGATGATGCTGTGAACTGCACAGCAGCTTTCCCAGGTGGCTTTGAGAGGACCAGTGGCTGGTTCAGGGTGACTTGGCTGGTCAGTGCCTGAGCAGAAGCTTGCATCTGTATATGTTCAGTGCTGCTTTGGGGACTGGGGAGAAAGCGGTGACAATGACAGGTGAAGTGCAGGGGAGAGGAGAATCAGACTCATCAAGTAAGACAGAGTAAAATACGTGTTACAACAAGGGGCAGGAAGAACAAGGAAATAACTGATGCTGGGAGCTGCTTGGTCGGGTATGAGTGCTGTTGAGTTCAGGTTGGACGTGTAAGACACCCATGTGGCAGTGTATGCCTCATGTACACTGCATGGGATGCTGATTTGTCCATTCTTAATTCTGTACTGTGTGTTGAAATTGTAATATTCATATTTAGTAAGCTATCATTTATTGTAAAATTAATCTCACCTCTTTTTATCTTTTAAATGTGGCTACTAGAAAATTCAGAATTAGACTTGTGGTTTACATTGCATTTCTGTTGGGCAGTGCTTGGGTAGCACAGTGCTTTTAGAACTTGGGAGTTTTAAATTTTTATGAATTTAAAGCTTTAAGATTAAATCACTCTGGGGAGCTCATTTTTTCCCCTTTAAAAATATTTATTTATTTGAGAGGCAGAGTGATAGAGAGATATCTTCCATCCATTGGTTTACTTTCTAAGTGGCCACAATGGCCAAAGCTGGGCCAGGTCAAATCCAGAAGCCTGGGACTCCATTAGGGTCTCCTGTGTAGGTAGCAGGAGCCTACCCAGACAGTAGTACTTGAACTGTCTTCTGCTGCTTACCCTACTGCATTAACAGGGAGCTGGATCGGAAGCAGAGACAACTGGAACTTGACAATGGTTGTTCCAGTATGGGTGCAGCATTGCAGGCTGCACCAACCTCCGTCCTGGGAATCTTGTTAACATGCAGGTTCTGATCTAGCTGATCATAATATAGACCAGAGATTCTGCATTCTAGAAAGTTCTTGAGTGCTGCTGATCCCTGAACCTGACTTAGAGTGGCAAGGAACCTATGTAACTGGTGTGTGTGTATGTGTGTGTGTGTGTGTGTGTGTGAGAGAGAGAGAGAGAGAGAGAGAGAGAGAGGAAGGGAAGGAGAGAGAGAGAGACTGACTTTAAATGAGATGGTTAGAGAAGTCCTCCCTGGGAAAGTGATGTAATTGAAATAAAAGGGTAAAATTCTGCTTTTCCAAGATGTGGAAATAGTCAGCACAAAGGCCCTGAGATGGATGCAGATCTTGTGGCTCCACAGAGGACTCCTGTTTTGTTCTAAAAGCATCTTTGATCTAGCTGGACAGAGCTTGCCCAGTGTCTGCCCATGTAGCCTCCTGGTTGGGTGATTTTGGTTGCATCACTTTGCTTCAGCTTATCTGAATATTACTCCTTCCTTGTAGGATTGTTGGGGGGCGTGGTTTGAGGAAACAGTAAAACCAGGT